CTTGAATTCAATCCCTACCAACCTAAGCAAGTGAAGAAGAAAAAAAAATCATTGGATGATATAAAAATTGTAGTGGAATTGGGGGCAGAAGTCAAATCCCTTCACTTCCATGGGCTTTAATTTCTTCTTCTGAGACATTAGCTTCCACAAGAAGATGACTTCTTCTGTACCTTTCATGTGCTTCTGAGACAATTCTATGTAAACCCCAGACTGTACTCAGTGCTGGATAATTCTGGAATTTGATCTTCAATTGTGAAGGTGAGGAGAGACCTTCACACTTTGCAGAGTAAGAAAATGCTGTTCTGCAAGCTGTGATTGTGTGGAAGCCTCTGACTCTTTGATATCTCCTAGTTTCCTTGGTGTCTGGAAACGCCCTGTGGGTTTTTGTTCTTCTTGGTATTCAGTCATGGTGTTTAATACGTGGTGGTAGACCAGATGTCTTTGGATTGCTTCTGGAACACTTTCTTATTAGGCTCAGGTCCTTTCTGGGTTACACAGAGAGAACTTGATTCAAGGACTTTGGTAGTTTTGTTTTATTCTTTAATTTATGCTTTCATTTTTCATAATATCAAATACAGCGTTATGGAGGATAAATCATAAAAATGACATTGACCTTGTTTTCTGTGCATCAAAGAACAATAGCTGATATTTGTTGACCCCTTAAATATGTCATGTCAAGTGTTTACTATTCACACACAAAATCTCATTCAATCTAACACCAGCCTTCAGAGACAATACTTTTTCTATTCCTATATTTCACAGATAAGAAACTGAAAATCAGCAGGCTGAAAACAATTTTCTATAGGGTTACAACAAAATAGTCTAAGTAGGGGAGATGAGACTCATAGTCATTGAAGATATTATCAGTCAAGAGTGATTTTGTTTTACTATAAGGTTCACTTTTGATACTGTTCTTTCTATATTCTATGGTTTAACTAATGTATAATGACACATATTCCCCAATTATAACTCCACTATCCCCAAACATCTCCTGTGTTGCCTCTACTCAGATGTGAGAGTTAGCCAATAAGAGGCTGAAACTAATGGGCCAAGCAGTGTTTAAAAGAATACAGTTTCTGTGTAATTATTTCAGGGGTAAGCTAGCTGGGATCCGGACGGGAACACAGCCTGCCGTTCCTTATTTTTACAGAGTGGCGCCCAACCGTTCCGTATTTTTACACTACTCAATGTTCACCACCCCAGGTCCTGACCTTGGGCATCCCCAGATTTTTTAGTCTGTATAAATTTGCTTCAACCAAAATGTTTTACAACTGGAATCCCGCGGAGCGTAGCCTTCGTTGATGGTTCTTTTACAAAGATATACAAAGTGAAGTTTTCTCCACAGCTTTTCATGGCCAGATGACTCACTTCCTGTTAGCACTGAAAATAATGGTCACCTTGTGGCTGCTCCATAGTTTTATCTTTTCCAAAATTTTTGGTTGCATCCAAGTATTGGTAGTTATTATTGCAGCTTCTGTAAGTTTTTGTATGAACAAAATATCTTAAAATATTTGTTATGGCGATACAGCTGTCAAGCATCAAGGATTTGTTTTGGGACTGGGCTTGTGAACCCGATGGGCAGAAGCTGATGGATAGACATCCTGGAAATAGAGAAGAGAATAAGCAGGAATTCCTGAGCATTTGTGTCAGGCAAACTGCTGGGTGGTTAATGTTATTTTCCTTAAACTACACTGTTATCTCTTGGTGCCTTCCAGTTGCAGTATGAAGCCTTATAGTCACTTGTATGAAAGTTGAGAAATGTTTTGTATCTTTTATCCAAACTCACAAAGCCAGAGAAGCCACAATTTGAATCAAATCTGAGGCCAACCAATCTGTTCTTTGTCTTGTCCTATCTGGTTCTTCATTCAAGGGGAAGAGACTTAAAGAAAAGAGTTGATTTAATCATAATATGCGAAAGGGTATATGTAAAGCTTGAGAAGGAGGTTGCAGCCAGGCCAAGCATGATGCTGGCTAGGAGCTGGGGGTGAATGTCTCTGAACTGCGCAGGATGTCTCTGGGCAGTGTGGGAGCGTCTCTGGCCAGGGTAGGGGTGACTGTCTCTGGGCTGAGTATGAGGAGTGCAGAAGGAGAGCAGAAAGTTCTGGGAGCAGGAAGGATCACCTTTTTGCATTTCATAAGACTACCTGAATTCACTAGATTGTTTCTAAGAGACTTCTGAAGATATGCAAATTTCCACTCTGTGTGACCTTTGGGAGAAGGAACAGGGTGTTCAGGGCTGCAGTAGATCAAACCAGCGGAGGAAGTCACGTGTGCTTTCCTGGCTGCCTCTCGGTATCTCAGTCCCAGAAGATGCCCTTTTGGTCATTGCTACCCCTACAACATCAGGACAACAAAGAGATAGAAATCTGCACACATGTACACACACTATAGAACCTTTTAGAGTCTTGCAAAGTCAGTCAAAATAATTAAACCTTGTTCAAAGTTAATGAGTTCAAAGTTGAGAAGACAATGTCACAAACCAAACCAAAGGTTTCTAGAAGGCCTAGAAGTGTGGCTCAATGGTAGGATTGGGGAAGCACTCTTCTAGAATGTGAAAGCTACTGGGCTCAATACCTAGCACCTTAAAAAAAAAAAGGAAAAAAAAAAGAGAAGAAATCAACCCTCAACTTTGAGATCAGAGATTGAAGTATTTTGTGAACTGGGAAACCTCCTGCTCCCTTCATTTGTAGGTAACTTGTTAACTCAGAGTTGCCACTCTAGTTTTGCTTTTGTGTTTTGAGATACAATCTTACCGTGTAGTTCTGGTTACCTGGAACTCAATATAGAGACCAGGATAAGATCCATCTGCCTCCTGTACTGGGATTAAAGCTTTGTGCCATCACACTGGACTAGTTTTATTTTATTTGCTTGTTTCCTTATTTGCTGTTATTGTTGTTTGAGGGAGTTTAAAGATATATACCATGAAAAGCTGGTTCTGAAATGGATGCCCACGGTATTGTGGTTTTTTTAAAGACGACAATCTGATGCCTCGGGAGCTTGTGATACTTAATCTATGACTACTCATTACTTGCTTGTCTGGTACCAAAACCCAGGAACAGCATGTTATGTTGAGCCCTGGGCCTCTGGGTAGATTGCTTCTGACAATGGGTATTGGTACCAACCAGCCCCAGAGCACAGGAACATTTGTCTAGGGAATTATAGTAGGGAGGGTAATGGGTCTTCTGGAGGTCTTCTTCTAGAACATGTCCTAGAGCACAAAGCAGCAGCACAGCAAGGGGTGGCAGACAAGACTCCCATTTCTATCCAAGTCCGTGTCCCTCCACATGCTCAGCACATTACATCACTGCTGTTCTTCAGTCCAGGGATTGCAGGGCTCGGGAAAGCCGCCCTTCCTCCTTACGCAGCCTGTTGATTTTAGTTCAGGAAGGCCCAGGATAATATTTAAAAGAGAAGTAGGGGATTCCTCATTGTGTGTGGGAGTCCTCAGTGGAATCCTCTTGACTGAGGCTAGTAGTCTGCCAGGAGAGTGGGAAGCAGGGATTCCACTGCTCAGGGCATGAAAACAAGTTTCTCCCATGCCTTCTATGAGGACATTCTGCCAAAAATAACCTGTGGTTGTTATTTCTGGCCGGAACAGTGGGCATTTTTTTCTTTCTATTTTCTCTGTTAGTAGGGAATACATCATATTGTGAAAAGGATCCCTACTTTTCCTGACCTCAGGCTTCAAATCATTTTTTTTTTCCAGAGACAGCATGGTTTCTTGGTGCCTTTTTTGAGAATTATTCAGTGTTCACAGGAACGTTTCTGGTTTTTAACAGATGCAAATATTCTTTACATATGGTTCTACCCCATGTATTTTACTTAATAGATCTTTAACCTTGCTCCAATTTAAGTTTCTTTGTCTTTACGGCTATCAAATCCTGTGTGTTTTTATCTCCAAGCTTCTTGTTCTTACTGTTTTACTTCTTACTTTCATGTGCCAACTTGGCTCATGTTAGGTTTTTCAAGTTGTTGAAGAGAAAGGAAAGATTCAAGGCGTTTGAACAGCTAATTGGCTGGTGGGATGGCTCAGTGGGTAAATGCACTGGCATCAGCATGACAACCTGAGTTTGATCCGCTGAAACTAAGCTGGAAGGAGAGAACTGAGTCTATAAAATTGTCCTCTGACATACACTCATGTGCCGTGGCATATGTGAACGCGGGCGTGTGTGCGTGTGTGTGCGCGTGCGCACACACACACACACACACACGCACACACACACACACAAAACCACAAATAATACATAAAGCTAATTAATGAGAAACTACATCTTTTAAAAAAGGTCCATCAAAGTGGCTCAGTTGGTTCTTGGTATTTGCTACTGAACCTAAGGGCTAGAGATTGATATGATGAACTCATATAATGGAATGAGAGACTGACTCCTGAAAATTGACTTCAGACCTCTACACACATGTACATACACACACACACACACACACACACACTTGCATGCACACACAGTTGCACACACACACATGCATGTGCACACACTAAATAAATTATTAAATATATAAATAAGCTGGCTACATGCAAACTGTGCTTTTAAGGGTTAGTTAGAGCAGGTTGTTTAGCCCCTTGAAAATAGAATGTGTTTACTCCTGTGGAAGAGAAAGCACACAAAAAACTTCTGGAACTTTCTTTTAGTATGTTCTGGGAGTCTGTGCCCCTGGTGGAGTGGTTGATTCTCTGAGGGATTTTCTAATGAGTGCTGCTATTTAAATGGAGGATTGGGACCCTGTGAACCTACTTAGTATACCAAAAAAAAAAAAAAAAAAGAGTTTGGCAGACAGATTTCAGATTCTTGCATGATAGAGCAGAATTGCCATTCCTTATCAGAAGAGATGCTGTAGTTGTAGGAAACCAAGAGCTGTGTAGCCAGTCTGGGTCAAATCTTAAAACAACAACAACAACTGTCTTTTGTCAAGTATTTTTCCTGCGGACGGCTGTATTCATTTCACCTTTCTTTTTTTCTAAATATTCATGTTTTCTTCTTCCTTAGGCGAAGTCTCCTCCAATCCAAAGTCTCAGAGCACAAGTTACCAGTAAGTATTACCGAAAGTTTAATTTATCTTCATGTAGTTCTTTTGTATATCTGTGTGGTACATGCATGTCTGTGTTTATGAGTGCATGTGTGAGTATGTGCTTGTGGAATTGGCGGTTGGCACTGGGTGTTTTCCTTAATTACTCTTCTGCTTTTAATTTGAGACAGTCTTACACTGAAACTAGCTCATTGACGGAGCCAAACAGACTGGCTGGCAAACTCCAGGGATCCACTGTCTCTGCCTCCTCAGGGCTGTGCTCCTACTCACCACTGTGTCAGCGTGCCTGGCGTTTCTCCCTTCCCTTCCCTTCCCTTCCCTTCCCTTCCCTTCCCTTCCCTTCCCTTCCCTTCCCTTCCCTTCCCTTCCCTTCCCTTCCCTTCC